TGGGGGTTTTTAGTTAAGTACATAGACTATTTTTATTCAAAGAATAAAGTATTCACACCAGAAACCTCATGTAACAGCTCTGCAGCACGAATGTAGCTGACACGCAGCAGACACGCAGCAGACATGGCCCCCTGTGTGAACAACAACGCCTGTGAGACGCAGCAGATCAATGACGCAGCCATCACCTGCTGCAGATGCAGACGGTGTGGAAAACGCTTTGGTTGCTTTAGTGATTTCCTGACTTTTCCTCTGGCACGGTCAGACTAGTCATTTGTCCGTTATTTTGAGTTTGTGTCCAAAACAAACATGATCATTGACAGTTGTAGTTTAAGTGTTGATTCTCAAACACTAGCTAGTTAACATTGCTATAGCCTGGGACAGTTTAGACTCTTAGACTTTGTTGAGAAAACGCTGACGTCGTCAGGCTCCTCCAGAACTTGGATGCGGAACAGAGAAAAATGAAGATATGAGACATGAGATATTAATCAGATGTGGTGTTAAGTCATCAAAGCCTGGGGGCGTACTGAGAGCCTGCTGTGCGCATTTCACTGACGCCCCGCTGCATCATTTCAGGGTACAGTTGAAACCAATTCCTCCTGCCACGCTGAGTCATTAAGGTTACCGAATGAGATCCTTCAATTCAGCCTTCCTCAGTGTTTCCCTCCACCCTTGACTTCTGATAATTCACTAAACATTGGAATTAAATGGATTCGAATCATCTGTCATTTTCATTGGTCCATTTACCACTGAGCTAATCATTCTGTCACACACGTACATTTTCTTTGTGCATTTAGATGAGGCATTTCTCCCATTCTCACAGTGAAGAAGATGTTAGACTGCTCACACAGATACTAACCAGTGACCTGTCTTAATAATGCAGGGAGTTGTAGTTGTATATCTATTTTTTAAGATGTGACCTGAACTTAACAGACCGGCTACTGACAGTGTGACCACAGCGTGCTCATGCCATCTGTGTCTCTCATTACTTCAAACGTGTCATGCCCTTGGTTTTCATCTTTTCATTACATTCATTCATGCAAAAATGAAATAAAAAAGATTTTTCCAAGGCTGTGACAAAACTTACAAATGTTAAATATGTTTTATTTATTTTGAACTGCTCTTTTAAAAGGTGCCAGATGAGCAGTGTTCAATATTTGTACAAATCACCCAAAATGTATTCAGCTCATTTGACACTGTGCACTGCAGCGGCAACTTAATGATCCACTTTCTGAACTCATTCATTCATTTATTTCAACATATTGATTCAATGTTTTGAAGACCTGTATTTGTATTCTCCTGATGGTTTACTAATTATATTTCGAACTGGATGAGGAAGCAAACAGGTTAGTAAGGATAATGAGTCACTCCTCAACCATGTAGTTTGAAATTGAAATATATGAGTATTAAAAATGAATTAGACGTTGGGTCTATAAATCCGCTCCCTCAAGGTCTGTGTGTGTCAGTAGCTCTATGCATCATGCTGATGATGTTGCATGGTTAAGTCCTGGACCTGCACTTTGCAAACAGTCATGTGATCACAAGCGATAACTGCTGACTAATCATTAATATTACCTTTACATCTTCCTGGAACAGCTTGTGTGCTGTGATAGAGGAACTTAATGGAATTCAAAATTAAATAAATCAATACAGACAAAATAATAAGAAAAAAATACAGATAAATACGCATATTTTTTAATTATCTGATCAAATTCAAACCTCATCATGAAACTGCAGTCACATTTCATCACTAAATCTTTATCTGTTAAATTCCACAATCAGGGCCGTGGATTGCCAGATAATTAAATGAGAACAACCCACACACCCACACAGTACAACACACAGATGGAGTTTCAGTGAATTTGCAGAAATTCTTTTAAAATGATTCATAATCAATTCTGACAAATGGGAAGTATTCCACGGGTAAACACTGAGGGAAATGTGAGGGTGAAATAAGAATCTAAAATGATTCTCTGCAAGGCTGATCAAAATAAAAAGGATCTTTGTTTAAAGTTTGGAGGCCTGAAGACACTAACAATAAAATGTTAGGGGGATGGTCTCAGCAGTTCCTGGAAAAGCCCAAAGCGGTTGTTTTTTTTCTAGTATGCACTGTGTTAGAAATGAAAGGGTCCACCCCCTGCTGAGTGAAGCAATATGTCTAAGCTGGCATGAGGTCCTGGATTTGTATCTTGACACAGATTGATGCTGCCATACTGCCTTCAGCCTCAAGGGGGCAAGAGTGCACCACTTCTGTATGCAAATTCATGAGTTTGACTTTTACAGAAAATGATTGCAGAGAGATCTAGATCCATATAATACATTTATATCAAAATCATTGAATTGCAGTGCATGTAAAAGTTAATATCTCCTAAGTAAAACCTCCATAATGATTCTGGTCTGTTATGGTGTCAGTGGGCTGTGAGACAACTTTAAACTGACGGAGAGGACAGAGAGGGAGAGGGCTCTGTGTTGCAGGTCTGAGCGTGGACAGCCTGGAGGCAGGAGCAGAGGAGAGCGTGATGATGACACTGAACTCTGTCTGAACTTCTCCTCACACTCACTCCTCCACCTCCTCTGTAGAAATATGCTGCAGAGCATCTCAGCCTCCCCCAACAATGTAATCTGAGGTGCTCACAATGTTTGTGCCGACTTCCATCACAGTCTACAATGCTGTGTGTCCGAAAGGCCTCAGCGAGTAAGAGAGACTGTGTTAGTGTGTGTTCCCTTATTTTTGTTTCCTCTTCAGGACCTTTCCCAGCATGAACACTGACCTTATCAGGACCAGTAGACCTCGTGGAAACGAAGGCTCGGTCCTGATGAGGTCATTTCTGAGGTCCTGGTTAAGGTTAGTGGTCACATGTGAAGTGTGGTCCAGTTAAAGTAAAGAGAAGAAATTAATGGAACTGTAATGGAAAATTTGCATATGACCTTGAACTCTACTATGTCTGATCAATGCTCGTGTGCTGTGTTCAACCATAACTCCTCAAATAGGAACAGTTGTGCTCACATAAGAGGAAGTGTCTGGCATACGTGCAGACGGACGATTCGAGATTAGACAAATACCTTTCTTTCTTTTTTACCTAATAAATGCCCTGAGTGTTGCTACGCACTTGGCAGATGTAACCTCAGAGTTTTTTTGATGATAATCCTCTTGTTGACCCTGATCTGTGTACCTGGACAAACTTCTTTTTTGCAGAAGCAATAGCAGACAGCTTCCTGTGCCAACCAGACCACAGGTGGCCTCAGTGTTCATGCTATTACTCAGTAACAGTTGTCTCTTATGTTTCCTGTTTACCTGACTGTATAAAAACCTTCTTCTTTCCCTATTCGAGGCGGTTCCACTCTGAGCATTCATGCTGAGTGTGAAACTCTCTGCAGAGCTTTCTATTAAAGACCCAAAGATAACTCTTTATTTCACATTTCCAGATAAATTTCCACCACAGCATCTATTTCATATTTTATTCCATGACCTGGGTCCTGATGAGATGTGATTGCTGAATAATACATGTGCATTTCATAACGTGATAACTCAGAGTTGGATGTAGGTTGATAAATAAAATGTACCAATACTATCTCCTCTAAAGCTAGCTCATGTTTTGTTTATATAAAATCTTTAGATGTATGCAAAGCTAAGCTAAGTTAACCATCTAATGATTATAGCTTCATATTTAACAGACACATGGGAAATTACAAAGGAGAGAAAAGAAACACGAACAATTATAAGCACTACAATGAATGGTTTGTAATACTGTTAGCAGACATAAGGGCAGTTGTTACATTGATGCACAGTATTTGCCGAAACATATTGTATATAATTCTTGCTGTTTTTTACTATATTGCTCATTTGCTATACAACAGCATCCACTGATGGACGGATAAATTATAGTAGAAGAAAAACACTTGTGTCTACTTACAATTGCATTATAGTTTGTTCGGAACCATGTTTAAATAGTACTTATAAATGTAATATTGTGGGTTTAAGTAAAATTGTATCATACATATATCATGTAAGTATCCTACTGCAAAATAGCTAGTCCATTTATATGTTAGTGAAGATTATGTTACATTTGACGATTTCCATTTTATTCCTATGTTTACACAACATTCATTCATTAATTAGTTATACCACTTAAACTTTGATGGTAGAAGGGGGCTGACAGAGGTGGTGTATACGCTATGGGCCGTTTAATCTAAACTGCAGGGTTTTGGATAGTGGAAGGAAGCTGAAGTAACATGGCATGACCTGATGTGAGGAGCGGTCTCTTTTGTGCTGTGTCATGCGTTCGTGAAGGGGGGAGATAGCCTAAATATTTAATTCATTCATTTATTTGATTTTGTGCTGTGTTTTACCAAAAACCTCATGATGTCATCACCACAAACTGCACAGAGGTCACATGGGTCACAGAAGCAAACCCAGAAACAAATGACTTGACCCTACTCTATGTGTCCAGAATGCTGTACCTGACACTTTTCATTTCCACTTTTGTGATGGTATACACTTAGAGAGGAAATTATAAAATGTTAACACAAGAACAGACATTATATCCTGCAGTGCAGTTTAATAACAGCAGAAGCATAATCGTTTACCACTATTCTATAATATCTACTTTTCTTATTTGCTATTGTTATGTTTGGATGAGGTGTCATGGTGCAGGGTTAACTGAATGTGACCTGACTAGAAATCCATAGCAGGAACTGAAACGCAGATTAACTATCAGCAACTCAGCGGGAGGCAAACTCACAAAGACAAACACTTCACAAATAGTTCTTAACTATGTCAAACACTGAAAGCTGTGGCTCCACAGTTTCTAATATGCAAACGACCCTCAGATACGAATGGATCACTGTTGTTCTCTTGTGATTTTGAAGAGATTGCAGGGGAGCAGATTAGAAGCATTCAAAAGTTCTGTCAGATAGCAAATTTCCCCATTGTTGAAATCAGTGATTGTCCACCAGACGACTGCAGTTCCTGATTAGCTAAGTGAATTAGATGTCATGTGTTTCTTGTTCCTCTTTCACTTTGTCGTTTTGGCACACCAGCAGAAAGTGCCTGGTCCTGACAAACTGCTGCTTCAGGTAAGAGCGAGTGTTTCTTCACTGAGACACATTTGGTTTAGTTTGTGGAGATTCTGTAAGCTTGAGGTTTATGGATATATTTAAAGGATAAACAGATTACTTGTATTAAGGAGATGAGGTGCAACATGTTTCTCATGTATAGAGAAAAATGGTCAGTTGATATATGATTATATGACATAAACCAAATTTAACAACTAATTATCTTTTATAGAACAGATATAATGTAGAATCTTATGTGACATATAATCAAGACTAAAGACAAAGATCCTATCGTGCACAGCTATGTTCAGCCATGCATGGATCTCTTCATGTTGAATGCCACTCCTCATTCTTGCTCTACTTTTACTTTTGTTTTACTGTCCTGTTTATAACGACACAAGGGTTCTTCTTTTTTGGCAAAATGTTCTCCAGTTGGTTGGATGATTATGGAAGACTTGAGCTGTGCTTCAGGAAGTTTTGTTACAGCAAAGGGCTGCTGTGGCTTTACTTGAGGGTTGGGCACTTGTGTGTGCATGACAATAAAAAAAACATCAATACAGATTATTTACTACAAACTGTACGTTTTTAATTTCAAAGGCAGCATTCAATGTGTGTTGACTGATTGATGCTTGGTGGGAGGCATGTGCTTCTCCACATCTGCTTCAGTGTTCAGTGTATTTATTAGTTGAAGAGATCTCAGCTGAATACTATGGTTCCCCGCACAATGAAAAAATACAAACTATAAACTAGAGTTAGTCTTTTAACAATTTGTTCTGCTTTGATTTGACAAGCAAACTATTTGGGATACATGTGGAGTATATGTGTATTATTAATATTGTTATTATATGTGTATACATGTAAATTGTGTCATTATTGACTGTCACATTTATCTAATATTCTGTGCATTGACAATGTCAGAGTTTCTTGAGTTTTGGGATGTACTGTACATTTAGATTGAATATATATGTAACTGCTTTGGATGGATTATGACCTGAAATCTTGGTGTGTGGAATTATTTTGGTTTTTCAGCAGTGAACTGTGGCCTCTTTTTGATTAACAGCTCTTTAACACAGTTTTGAAAGGATGTGATAACCTATTGTTTATCTAAACTTAAACAATTCAACGTCTACTACACACATGACCCAGAAAGAATCAGTTTAGAGCTTCTCACTGTCTAAGATTATTTTTCTATTTAATCTATTATTCAGTCTGTTTTTTGTCTCTTTCTTAAATGGCCGATGGAGCCTTTGATCAGGGACCAGTGTCATGTGACAGTTGAGTTTTAGAGTCACAGTATGTGCTGATACTTGTGTATTACAGCTGTGTCTTAAAATGCAGATACATGCAAGTACATCTTTCAGAAGTGAAACAGTTAACATTTTGTAAAGTGATTCACAAAATCACACTTGAAATGGGAACAAATGTTGAACCTGGCGTTTAATGATTTTGACCTAATTAAATAAAACTGCTCTCTCGTCTGCTGACTTATGAGCAGTCATGTGATTTGTCCTGCAGCTCTGACAGTCAGCTCTTTCACCGACCTCGGCTGAAGCAGGAGTCATGAACACAAAGCAGTGGTGGGAACTAAAAGACATTTGATCCTTTAGGTGCTCCACACAATAACTTAAAAAATGATATAGGATATTTGCTTGTATTGTAGAATCGATCCATTGTTGTGTTGGTTTATAAACTCTATATTATTTTGAAAAATCTGAGTACTCCTCCCACCATCGACCCAAGAATGCTTCACTAATCAAGTTAAGTGTCTTTAAATAGCGCAAAAAAATAATAGGCGGCCGATTGTGTCGATTATATTTATCATAGAGAATAAATGTTGCTATTAGTTAGAGCAGAAAGAGCTTTCCCTTTGAAGTAAGTAATTTATGATATGGTCCTCATCTGTGAATGGTATATTTCAGTGGAGAATAAGGAAGCAACTTGTAGTATTAAAATACAAATAGTCCTCTCGATGAGGTATTTAATTAATGCGGTTCGGTTCTTCTCACAGAACAGCAAACATGTCGACCACACAAAAGCAGAATCTGTCGAATTTATGAGGCAGCTTCATGCTCAAAAGACTTTTCTGATGATCTTGTCCTTCTCATCTCAAAACAGCCACGATGTCCCTGCACTGTCAGCTCATTCTGGTGCTTTTCATCGCTGTGGCCTCAGCCACCAATCCTGGAGTAAAGGTCAAGCTAACAGAAAAAGGCCTTGAATATGGTAAGGTCTGCAAACGTTAACTGTTTTTTAGTTTGTTTTTAAAGCACAGATCCGCTCAGTTTCATCGTTAAAAATGTTCTTTTTATAGGCAGACAACTGGGCATGGCTTCAATCCAGCAGAAACTCAAGACCATCAAAGTCCCAGATATTTCAGGGAAGGAGAGAGTGCCTCCCATCGGCAAAGTCGAGTACAGCTTGTCACAGTAAGCTCCTCTCAACACTCAGCACGCCTGGAAATTCTGTTAGAAAATGTTTTTTTGAAGCCAGGCGCCTTCACAAACCAGCGTTTTGTTGATTCCAGTATGCAGATAGTGAAGTTGGGATTACCCAAGTCTGCAGTGGATCTTGTGCCGGGGACTGGCATCAAACTGTCCATCAGTAACGCCTACATCAGTCTGCATGGAAACTGGAGGGTCAAGTATCTCCGGATAATGTAAGTGAGAAAACATCTCCTCCTTAAACGGATAAATGTGTTTTGTGATATTTCTGCTGCAACAGTGTCTCCTTCCTCTCGCTCTCAACAGAAAGGACAGCGGCTCATTTGACCTGAATGTGAATGGACTCACCATCACTTCAAGCCTCGCCATCAAGAGTGACGAGACAGGCCGACCGACAGTCAGCAGTGTCTCCTGTGTGGCCACTGTGGGCAGCGTGAGCATCAAATTCCATGGTGGAGCCAGGTAAAACGAACCCTGACGTGCAGTACTGTTGGAACCGTGTGAGGGAATGACTGTGATTGATCATTTTCCAGTTTTAGCTGTCGGGCTTTGTGCACTGCACACATAACTCCTGTGGTGGCTGTTTCTTTCAGTTGGCTGTACAATCTTTTCAAGAACTTCATCGATAAGGCTTTGAGAAATGCACTGCAGAAACAGGTGAGGGGACACAAGCCTTTATTATTCCCACAGGAAGGCCACCCTCTTTCTCTGAGGTCATATTCAGTATCTCATTCCACCACTAGATGTCCTCATGACAGCGGCTAAAAGGTCCTAACTAGGAAACTCCAGTGAAGACTTGTTATTAAAGCCGCTCAGAGCAGAGTTTACTGCCAAATTCCTTAAGCACAAACCCAGCCACAAATAATGGTGTAGTGTTGACTCAGACCCGAACTTTAACAGCCACTTTAACACAAAGTCAACATATTACCACCTTAAGAACATATCAGGATAAGAGGACTTTTGTCTCAGCAGAATTTAGAAAAACCTATCCATGCATTTATCTTCAGCTGACCTGACTATTGTAATGGTCTCTTTAAAAAGTAGACCATAAAGCTGCAGCTCCAGTCCTCAATAACATCAATAAAAGTGGATCATATCACTCCAGTTCTGAGATCTTTACACTGGCTCCCTGTCTGTGAAATAACTGACTTCAAAACACTGCTGTTTAGGGTCAGAATGAATTCTGGGTCTCCTGCTACTTTATGAACCATCCAGACTCTGTCAGGTTGTCTGGAACAGGTCTGCTTTCTCTCCCCAGTCCAAACTAAATATGGAGAAGAAGCGTTCAGTTTTTACACACCAGATACGTGGAAGAGAACTGGAGCTGCAAATGTTAGTTCTTTTAAATGAAGGCTGAAGACTACGGCCTTATACTAAATCAAGTAATTACTCACTTCTTACACTGCACCGTTACTTTTATTTCTTATTTTATATATTTCATTCTTTAATTCAATTTTGAATAGGTTTTTTAGTCATTTGTTGCTTTTACAATTTGTCATGACGCCTTTATTATTTTATGCAGAGCGCTTTGAATTGCTTTGTTGAACTATGCTCTACAAATAACCCTGAAAGAGAATTGACATCGACACTGTTGCTATGGATGACATCATGCTTTATGACTGGACCTACTCAGTATGTCTACAATGAAAGTACAAATACATTCATGTGGAAATACAAGTGAAAGTCCTGCATTCATAATACTATACAAATTGGATAAATGTACGTTAAGTATTGAGAGTAACAGAAATGTTTCTGCAGTGTGAGTGACACATCATCATACCTCGACATGAGAGTGTTACTACTGATGCATTGATGAGTAATCTGCATTCTTCTGTTCTCTCTTGTTGCAGATCTGCCCTCTGGTGGCTGATGCAGTAAATGACTTGAACCCTCATTTGAAAACACTCAATGGTAAAGCACTCCATGAGAAAACGACTTGCACCAAAACCCATTGATGTCAATAAATGACACGTTTCATCAATGCTGAATAAACCAGTGACTCTCTTCTCCACTGCAGTTCTGGCCAAGGTGGACCAGTATGCAGAGATCGAATACTCCATGGTGTCATCGCCCACAGTTTCAAAGTCCTCAATAGACTTGAACTTGAAGGTAAAGCATTTTAATGACCCCCAGTTTCTGCACACTAATATCGTTTGACATTTTACAGTCTGAACATCATTAATATTAAGAAAACTAAATTTTTTGTAGATATTTTTTTCAATATTCTTTCTACAAAAAAGGCCACATATATTATCAGTAGGTTTGGCAACCTTGATCACACACATTTATTATTTATAAATTCCAATGCAATGGATTTTAAAGAATTAGTTCCGATAAAATAATGCAAATGATGTTTAAAGCGAAATCAAAATCACTCCCAGACTGCATATAAAATATTTTCAATACAAGAGAGCAAATATGATCACTATACAAAAGGCCAAAAGAGGGAAAAAGAGAGATGTTAAACCTCGACTGCAATTGTTTGTATTCTTCTTCTTTCCTTTAGGGGGAGTTTTACAACATAGGGAAGCATCAGGAGGCTCCGTTCTCCCCCACAGCCTTTTCCCTGCCTCCCCAGAACGACGACATGTTGTACATAGGCATGTCTGCCTACTCTGTCAACTCTGCTGCCTTCGTCTACAACAAAGCTGGAGCCCTCAGTCTGTACATCACTGACGACATGGTGAGCGGAGCCCTCAGGTCTCCTGATGGTGTAATGAATTCACATTCTAAAGCCTCCCACTGACTTTAAATCCTCTCCCTCTGTCACAACAGATCCCGCAAAGCTCTCCCATCCGACTCAACACCAGGACGTTTGGAACCTTCATCCCTGAGGTGGCAACACACTCCACTGCATTGTAAAGAGACACAACCTTCCCTGGCTATTTGTCAACTGTGTCTCTTTATTTTTTTTTTAGATTTCCAAGCGTTTCCCTGGTCTGATGATGAAACTGCTGGTTCAGACTGTGAAAACTCCCGTAATCACCTTTCAACCTAACAACGCCACCACTCAGGCCAGCTGCACGGTGACAGCCTACGCCATCCAACCCAACAGCACACTTTCCCCTCTCTTCATCCTGAACTTGGTAAGTTATGTTCTTTTTTCCTTATCTCATTTAAGAGCGTGGTGTTTCAGTTTGAGAGCAGGACTTCACGTTTCGATTTTGTAAGGCTTGCACTCGTACTCACATAGCCCCTGCTTGTGCTTGGATTTGCTCTCGCACTCAGATATTTGGTGCTTGGACAGATTTCCTGTGGTACATTTTCCCCTCTTCTCACGTTCACGGTGCTTCTGACAAATGAAATCATCTGAGGGCAAGCGCACAGTTTGAGCACAAGCAGAGAAAATCTAGACACGAGCAGGGGCTATTTGAGCATGAGGGTTTTGAATTAAATACATACAACATTTGAACTTGAAATCCATTCATCCTGCTCTAAAATGTAAAGACCACGCTCTACATAGCAGGTTACACAGCTGGCATGAAAAGCCGTGTTGGGGTTCAGAAAAACACTGACGCTCGACTCACCACATTGTGTTTTCCAGGAGACCAGTGTCAGCGCCCAGGTGTTTATCAGTGGCATGAGGGTGGCTGGAGCTGTCTCCCTCAACAAGTGAGTTAATGAAAAAACAGAACATGTTCTCAGAAGAGAGAGACGGGGCCAAAAGGTCCTTGTAGAGATGAACATCACATTCTAATTGTGCCTCATTTGCACAGAATGGATCTGACCCTGAGGACCAGTTACGTGGGAGAGTTTAAGGTGAGAGATGCATAGTAACACGAGTCACAGTGTGAACCGTCAGTGCCTACTTTACAAACTAACCCTCACCCTGACCCTGCAGGTCAGATCCCTCGACAACATCCTGCAGATGGTCCTCAAAGTCGTAGTGATACCCAAACTGAATGGTGAGTTTTAGCATTTTCAGTCTGTGCTCTAAATGAACTTGAGGCCACATCAAGTACTTGGGCTATTGAATGCAGATCAGTCCCGAGCACAGAGTTCAGGGGTCATATTTGAGACTTTTAAGAGTCTACTCCAACATCTACTTAATACCTTTATGTTATGCTGAATATATCAGTGGGTTCAGACCTTTTTGTCTTTGTCAGATGAGCTCAAGCATCAACACCAGCCCTCATCTTCCTAATCTGTTCTTTTCACACCTCAATTCTAGATGTTAGGACGGCAAACTCAGTTACCTTCTTTAAACAAATATTTGTTTTTGTAGAAAAGCTTTGCACACTGACAAGGTCTTTAGACTTATTTTCAACATTTTTACTGTAAATAGTTAGCACTAGTTTAAAACTAATTAATACTCAAATATTTTCTTATTATCCTCTTATGTAAAGCACTGAGCTGTATTTATTGTATGAATTTTATACTGTATTATAAATGCAACATAATATAGATCATATCTGTACACACACACACACACACACACACACACACACACATATATATATATTCTAGAATCATAATAATGCTCGTCACATTGGAGTTCTGTGACTTCTTTATATAAATGTTGAAATGTTTCTCCACAGTTCAACTTGCGAAGGGATATCCACTTCCTGCGATTGGAAAGATGAAGCTGGTGAAAACTCAGCTTAAGGTCCTGAAGGTCAGAGACGTGATGTTTTCTATAAAACTGTACCGTAATGTATTATATGACAGGAAATGAATGAGAGCTGGTGTGAGATTAAGGACTTGAGAGAAAACCACTTAAATATCTAAGTGATCAACAGAAAAGCTGTCAATGACTGCTGCTGCTGCTGCTGTGTTTTATTTTCCTGCAGGACTACATGCTGATTGGGACAGACGTTCAGTTTACAGGTTAAACTGCATTCTTCAAAACTCCCACGATTGCTTCCTGAACTGGAGCACACCACAGCAAGACTACAACCAACTCACTGACATTTTTGAAGAAAGAATTTCTCCCACTAACCTGAGAAATGTTGTCACTCAGGTTTTTTTAAATCTTTGTATTATTTTTTAATTTTAAATAATTCTGCACAGTGTTTCCCTCATGAGAGCAGTGAATATTTTCCACCACTGCAGTCCTGTCACAACAGGCAACATTCTGCAGGAAGACAGTGTCCCCTTATTGAAATGAAATGCTCCTTCACAGCGCTTTCTGTTGCTGACAAATTCAATCTCAAAGTTTCTCTGTGACTCACAGAGCGATTGTACAAATGTGCTGATCCATGATGTTTTTTTAAACCGGTTAAAGTTCCAGTGTGTAAGATTTAGGTGAAAGGGATCTATTGGTAGAAATGTAATGTAGAATAATTCTCATGATGTTTTCACTAGTTCGTTTCATCTTAACTGTATGAATTGTAGTTTTCTTTACCCCAGAAAAGACCCTTTATATTTAAATACTTTATATTTACATGGAGTGGGTCCTCTCTACGGAGGCCGCCATGTTTTTGACATTAGTCCAAACTGGACAAACTAAACAGCTTTTGAGTTTTTATGACAACTGAAGTTCATCACAGGTTCTTCTTCATGTTTGGAAGGAGAGGGTGAGGTGAGGGGTGTTCAGCTGCAACATGCAATTTCAACACTAGATATCACTAAATTCTACACACTGTACCTTTAAGAGAACCAAAAAAGATCAAATCCATGACATCAATCAAACTTTTGTTTTAATTCACATGGTCCAGAAAGTTTCAGTATCCTGTGCAGTTCAATATGTACATACACATAGACGCACTGACTGTATAAATAACACCTTACAAGTTTTAGTAGCTCATCAGAGCAGTCCGGTGTGACTGTAGGATGAGCAAAATGTCTGTGATGTCCTCAAACGAGAGAAGGAGAATCATGTCTACTAAAAAAGAAGAGTAGGTTTCCTGTGGCATCACCTGAGTCGATCAGCGGCAGGTTTCAATCATGGCCGTGTCCGAGGCCACGTGTTCATGGACCTGGTGCCTCGTCAGAGTCTCACACTGCTTCGCTGAGCCTCTCAGGGAGCTGCGACTGAGGGCTCGGCCTCTCAGGCTCTGGGAGTTGGCCGACGATATCTACATCATTAAAAACACATATCGTCCAAACGTAAGTGACAGAATAATGAAATCTGTAAAAACACAACATAACACATTCAGACTGTCAACATGATGTCACCCTGCCACTGACAGAAAGTATTTTTATTTTCACCTGTCCCTTTGATTTCATGGTTGATATATTTCCCAGATAGACATGGATTCTATATGATTCTAATAAAGATGTGCTTGGAACTGAACACCTGGATTTCCAGATATGATTCATTTTACCATACCAACATTTTTAACCTTCAACTCATACTAA